GTCATGGCTTAAATCAGAGTGGCATTCCAGATCTCCCTCTTCTACTAACCTCATTATCTTGTATATCTCTACAAAAATTACTTCTTTAAGAAAACAAAATCATCTCTCAGCCACTTCCTTTAAAAGATTGAGAAGCTCAAATATCTCCAATTTTTCTTCATGCCCAAGTGAAAATTGAAACATTCACCACCTCCCCTTTCCCACTTCAAGATTTTCACAAGCTATTCCATCAGTTCCTAAGGGAATGGCAATCATAGCTGGCCTTAGGAGAACAAAATGTCCCTTCTTTTAGGGAATGGGAGTCAGTAGCACTTCTCATCCCCCACTCTTTCAAAAATTAAGCGATGATTTCATTCTTTTTCCAAACCAAAATGCGATGACTCAGCTTATCAGTCTTGCCAAACGAGCCATCATAGGTTTCAGAAACAAATAGAAACATTCAGTAAAGAACTGCATTCTTACGAGGATGCACAATATAAGTAACCGTACTTTAAAGCTCACACTTAAGTGCCAACTGGCTATTTGACTCCCATTCTCACAATAACCTTATGCAATATGGCCTTTGAACAAGGATCACTAAGCAACAACACAAAGCAAGATTTGATTTGAAACCGTGCCATAAAGAGTCAAAGGTCCCAGGTAAGTTAATATTTGTCAGACAATGATGAGGATGCTACATTTGAATTCAAGCTGCCCTCTTGAAAAAGTGAGGGAGGGGTGGTGTGAGTGGGTGGACAATGAGTCTAAGAAATGCAACTGTTCCAGTTGAGGTCACCAAGTAACTGCTGCTGGAAAAAGGCCAACACAATGTGGCTCAACTATAGTGCCCCTACAATCAAAGCCTGCTAACTAGACTCACCAACTAAAAATGGGGACTAGCAATGGACTATGGAACAACATCCAGCTGCATGTTGCAGGTTTTAACTCAATACCATTAACCACTTTCTAAGCGAAACAAGTGATGCACAGGTACTGGGCACCAGAGGTACAACTTGGAAAGTTATGAAAGCTTCGAAGAGACACGCTCCCTCGTGTAAGCAATCCTCTCTTGATTACGTGGATAGAAATAGTGTGCAAGAGGAGAAAGGAGATTGGCACTAAGTAATGATGTTTGTTTTGAGAACGGCACGGTGGCTCAGTGGTTAACATTGCTGCCTCACAGCACCAGGAACCCAGGTTCAATTCCAGCCTCAGGTGACTGTCTGTGTAGAGTTTGCACATTCTCCCTGTGTCTGCGTGGGTTTCCTTTGGGTGCTCTGGTTTCCTCCCACAGTCCAAAGATATGCAGGCTAGGTGGATTGGCCATGCTACATTGCCTGTCGTGCAATGAACACCATGACTGAATACCCCAAAAAGCCTTAGAAATCATCAGGAAAAGTGGAGAAGGCAAAGAAACAAAGGCCATTTAGCATTAGTTTCAAAACAGATCATTGGCCTAAGTATTTCAAAAAGGTTGTTTCTATTTCTATTTGCCCCATTCATCTGACCTTTGGGAGAAAGAAGAGTAGATATAAGGTTTGAAAGCCGAGTCAACACAATCCAGTCAAGCACCTGTACAAATACTCCATCAGCTTTTTAAAAAAAGTCAACAAGCATCACGGTCAGTTACATGGATGATTTATTTACTGAAACACCTTGCGTAAATCTGAGCTGTGTTCCTGCTGCATTAATTTTCAGTAAGGCTTTATTGCCTCCGACAAGGCATTTTTTTTTAAGGTTACAAAGCATACTAATCACTAGCACCAATTAGTAGCAGCTGAAGGAGCTTCCTAATTGTTGAGCGAGAGATGGAAAGCATATTTAAAAGCATTGCTGTTACAGTCAGCGTATTACATAAGTTACTGCTATGGAGTGATGATGGAAGTTCCCAGGTATGAGGTATCATGACAAGCAGAGGAACCTGTGTGGTTTTTGTAGAATCATGCAAAACAGGATCATTTCAGCCCATTAAGTCTGCGACAGTTGCTTTAAAACAGCTAATCCAGTTATCCCAAGACCCCTGCTCTTCCCTCATCATCCTGCAATCTTAGCTTCAGGACAAGTGTGTACCCACTTTTATCTGTGTGGTTGACAAGTTCACTTACGTGGGGTCAATAAAACATTTATCTACCATGACAAGACTTGAAGTACAAAGCAGGGTGATTGGTGACAGGCTGTGGAGCAGAGATGGTTTTCTCCTGTAAATGTTATCTAATGTTACATCTCACCACACAATCAGCATTGTGGTACACTACACAAAGATTCCTCTAACCTATTCCATCCTTTTCCAACTCAAAAATCTCAATCAAGAAAGAACTCATTCCAACTGCTGGTAGGATGGCCAATCCGAGCTGAGGAACAGTCCTGCTCTAACAATCCTGTTTTTTTTCATGAGTCTCTATTTAATATGTAGATCAAATAATGGAAACCTCCAGACATTAATCACCTTAAAAGAGATGCTGTCAATGAAATCTCCAAACACAATTAATCCTGACACTTGAGAGTCATTAAAATTAGCTCAAAATTAAATATTTGTTACTTGACTTAGAAGCAGAATCTAGATATCACTCCGTAATCAGAGAAAATATAACAAAGGAATTAATTTAGTCTTGCACTCCAATTGAGCATATAAACCTTTTAGGATAACATCCCCTTTCCAAAATCAAGTCATTTGGCTCAGGCCCCCTGAAGATTAACTCGATTCTGCACAGTAAAACTTATACATTAACTGGGCTTATTGGGAGTTTCATCACCTAATGCTAAGATTAAGCTTCTAGAACGCACTGTCAGAGGAGATGGTGGAAGCAGGCACATTGGTGACATTTAGGAGGTATCTCGATGAGTAGGAAGGGAATAGAAGGATACGGACCAAATAAGGCCAAAAGATTTGTTAGTTTAGTCAGGGCATGATGATTGGTACAGGCTTGGAGGGCTGAATGGCCTGTTCCTGTGCCCTACTTCTCTTCTGTTCTTCAGCAATAATGGTTTCAAAGATAGGTTTGTTCTTAAAGCAGGAGACATAGGATATGATGGGCCAGCACAAAGAACCCAAGGCAACATCAATATACATCTTATATCAACCTTCTGAATCTTCCGTAGTTAATTCCCAATCATGTGGGCTGCTCAGATATTCTAGAATAATGTCAAAATATCCCATTTTGGTGGCAATTTTTCAGTTTCAATAAGTCAAATCTGGATTAAAACTTCAAAAATAAAAACTATTATTCTGAAAATGATGGCTTGCTAAACAAACTTTCATATTGGTTCCTGACTGACGTCCTGCATTGTTTTTATCTTGCAAATAGGTTGGGACAGTTTTCTTTGAGAATGGTCAGTTCTGAATGGTCATATCCATGTGTAATTGTTGAAGTAGTGCAAAGAACTAATGGTGTCTTTAATGTACTGAATGTCTAATGACAAGGTGACGAACCTGTGAGTTTTCAGGGTACTCTTATGGATTAGCATGAAGCTGCAAGGCAGTCCCATAGGGTGGGACATGGACCAAACAAGCATCACCGCCCAACTGTGAGACAGAGATGACATCTCTTCAAAGCAGGGGGATGGGTTTGCTAACTTACATTTTGCCTATTCAAGAGAAACAAGGAGAATCAAAGAATTTCTTTTCAAACATAATTAAAGTTGAGAGAGAAAAAGTACATCACACTGACTGCAGAGACATCTGCTTCCCAGTTCTCTTAGTTAATCGCTTTGAATTTCTATCTCAACTTGCCTGGTTACAGCTACACTTTAGAGATAGCAAAAGCTGCAGATGCTGGAGTCAGAGACAACACAGTATGGAGTTGGAGGAACACAGCAGGCCAGGCTCCACACTGTGTTGGCTCTACAGCTAAACTTTAGTTTTTTGCTCAGATTTTTCAGACCATCAGAATTGTGGGAAATTCCAATTTCTGCCCTCTGACCCAGGGTCTTATCTCAAGCTTGTTTTTCCAAATGTACAGCTATCTGTGAATAGCACAAGCGCATGCATTAACTTGACTAAGATGTACACAGGGTTATCAATTTTAACTATTTCTTCTGTACTACGCATGAGCTTTCAGCTTCTGACACATAAATCCTGTCTGAAATCCAGGTTACCTCCTTGCCAAGTTACTTGCACGTGTACTGGAGGGCATCTAAACCCTTGTGGAAAGTATCCAGCTGCTTTAGATTTATAAAGATAATCACTGTGCTGTATACAACTTGAATACAGTGAACCATAACCCGCTCACAAACAAAATGAGCATTTCTGCAGAGTGGGGCCAAGATCAGTAACCAGCAGCTGGAGTGGGGCAGCACTCACTAAGATTGTAGCAGCCAAGAATCTCTTAGCTTGGACTCAGTACAACACAGCAGCATAGTCCCTCTGGAGCCAGGGGCAACCCCCATGCACCCCACACCCCACACCCCACCCCACCCCAACACCAATTCCATTGTTCAATTCCTTTCCATCCATTCAAATAGCAAGCTGCAGTGCCAACTCTAAGCAAAGCAAGCTGAGACATGCAAAGAAATCTACCCAAGGAATTGTCCATTCAGCTGCCCTGAGGGGCTACCTTTCAAATGGTTTGTTGAAACAGAGATTTCAACCAAGAAGTTGATTGAGGGATGGTAGCATATCACTGATCAGTTTACCCTGTCACATTTCACCTATTCCAGACTTGTATTATAATGTGACTGAGCACATTAATTAAAAATATCTACGTTTGACCCTTTAGTCACTAACCCACTAATGGACAACATCTCAGTACAGTGTGAATCCTGCCCCAACGAAACTTGTTTTATTTTAATGAGCAACAAAATCCATTTCCCAGTCTACAAACACTAACTTTTTCATAAATTCTGAACACAATTGCTGGTTGTAGTAAAAGAACTCATGCCGTATAGAAACCACACTGAAAGTGCATCTTCAGCAAATGGTCAACTTGGAACAACAAGCAATAAAAGCACTAAACTACTTGGGTGCGCACATTGCCTTGCACTTCATCAACACGACCCCCCTGGGGAAAGCCAGCTCCTCCTACCTTTTTCAGCTTGCCACTCTTAGTCCCCACAAACACCAGTGAGTGGTCATTATAAACGTATGAAATCACTGAGCTCATTCGGTCTCGGTCCTCAGAGAACAGGGGGATGCCCTGCATGAGAGTGGAGCCACCTAATGGAGCGTTAATGTCCAGTCCGCAGAAGCTGTCATCAATGGGAACAGGCTGCAAAGAAAATAGAGGAACAATTGTTAAAACAAAGATTTCTCAGCAATAAACAATGTTAAATCAATGTTCATCATCCATTGGAAATGGAATAGATGACAATTTGAGCCCATCCCATTGGCTGAACAAAACCTGTCCCTCGGATGATTTTCATTCCAATGGTGTTTTTTTTTTGGGTGAAGTGCCAGGCAGGATTCACCCAATGAAATATTTATCATTATAGATGAAGTATGACATTTTTGCACCCTTCAGCAGGTAGGCCATAAATCCTCCTATATAACCCCACAACATTACGTTGAGTCTAACAACATTTGCTTCAGAAAAGTCATTTCTTTTAATTAGTTGCACCAGAATGGAATCAAATACTTTGACTTGGCATTCATCATTGCATCTTCCTTCCCCCAAAAACTCCAAAAATATTCCCCTTGAAATAGGGAATATGAGACAATACAATGCACTGCAGGTTACTTGCCCACTTGCCTGGATGAGTACAGCTCCAACAACAATCAAGAAGCTTGACTCATCCAGGATAAAGCAACCTGCTTGACTGGCACCAGACTCACAACCATGCACTCCTTCCATTACTGAGACATATTAGCAGCAGTGTGTACCATCTACACAATGCACTGCAGAAATTCACCAAAGCTCCTTAGAACTAGTTATTTGGATACAGAACTGGCTCGAAGGTGGAAGACAGAAGGTAGTGGTGGAGGGTTGCTTTTCTGACTGGAGGCTTGTGACTAGCGGTATGCCACATGGTTCGGTGCTGGGTCCACTTTTCTTCATTTATGTAAATGATTTGGAGGTGAACATAGGAGGTATGGTTAGTAAGTTTGCAGATGACACCAAAATTGCAGGTGTAGTGGACAGAGAAGAAGGTTACCTCAGCGTGCAATGGGATCTCGGTCAGATGGACCAATGGGCCGGGGAGGGACAAATGGAGTTTAATTTAGATAAATGTGTGGTACTGCATTTTGGAAAGGCAAATCAAGGCAGAAGTGCCCCAACCTCTGACCAGGAGACCTGGGCTCAAATCCCACCATCTCCAGAGTTGTGTAATAACATGTCTAGACGAGGTGATTAAAAAGTAAATATCTCCTCTCCTGATCAAGGGTCTTGTGTAACAGTGGTAGTATTCCCACATCCACGTGGGGTAAGAACTTACAGGTTGTTCGAAATAACAACTTCCCTGGTTCGGCTTCAGAATAATTCCACAGGCACATTACATTCACAAATGTGCAGATGAGGAATCAGTTCAATGTTTTATCTAAAAAAACAGCACCGGACAGTGCAGCACACCTTTAGTACTCAACTGAAATGTCAACTCTCCAAACTTTTTCTTTAAAAACAAAGAGCGACTAACATGAATTGGTTGCTAAACTAAACCACTGGAAGCTATAAATAGATTATTAGCTTGAAGTGCAACTTGAGGCCATATGTACTTATGGAAATGGCCTTCAATTTTACTTCACAATATTAATCAATAATTTGAATAGGCTTATCAGTTTCAGTGTGCTTGATGGGTGATATTACCACCATGCAAAAGGCAAATCGTTCTCTGAAAGAAAGATCCTATTCAGTTAATTAACTATGTGGGCAAAGTATCTTTAATCATTGCAGAGACTAACCTTCCTCTCACTGTGGCCATTTTGTGGAATTAATTTGTACATCGGGATTACAGCAGATAAAAAGAATCGCTCGTCAGTCCACTGCAGAACTGAACGATGTAGCATGATGGAAGGTGGAACAAACAAAGGTCCCAAACAGCCTCTCAGATGGGCATGAAATTGGTATGGCATTATGAGCACAGGTTTGCACTTATCTCTCAATTAGATGATCTGACCGTTATCACATTGCCGTTAGTGTGAATTTGCAGTTTGCAAAAATGCTGCCATATTCCTTTCTTCACAACAGTGATTACACTTCAAAAAGTATTTCTTTATCTGTAAAATGCTTTGGGACATCTGGAGGTGAAAAATACAAGCTTTTCTTTTCTAAAAAAAAATCATAGATACTGCAGAGCCAACTGGTTTTTCATGGATAGTTACCCAAAGGAGAAAGAAAATGGGTCTCAAGCCTTTCCATTACAAATATTATTGCTATTGGCATGGGCTAGGAAATGGTCACATTTCCCTTTCAAGATGCAATACTTGGTAACTGCGAAGTAAGGAACAGTTCAAACTGAAGGCATTGTGAGCCATGCCTGGTGTAGAAGTACTGGACATCAAGCCAGGAACGAAGCCAGCATTCCTTTCACAGTACTGTATGAAAAACTATTTTGTTCCCAAAGAACTAAAAGGACACCAGTTTGATTCTAGACCTTAGTTCAATTAATAGGACAGGGCACTGCTATGTGCTCATCGACCAATTGAAAGAATTATCCAACACATGCTGACCATATAGTGATTGATACTTTTCACTTCCATTTACGTCTGCACTGCCTTTATTTAGACTGCGATGAATGCACAAGGGGCCAGCACTAATAGCAATGAAGGGCACCACAAGGTTAGTAGCTCGTAGACGCTATTGTTTTCCCTTACAAATTATGAAACAAAACAACTTGCATTTATTGAATGTCAGAAACATCCTGGGAAAGCAAGAAAATAAAGTAGATAAAAAAGGGGGAAAAAAAAAATCAAATGATGGTTGCCAAGTCTTATTTCCTCTGCAAGCTCAATCAGAAAAACAACAAACTAGACTTTCCATAACTCACATCAATGACAGAAGCAATGAAAGGTCTCACTAGAGGCAGTACAGCTTGGTAAAGCATATGTTAACACAATGATCAGCCAGATAACCAAGTTTAAATCCAACTGGGATGGAGGTTAACTTCTCACTCACTGTGGCTGGAAGTTTCCTAGCATAGGTAAACATAACCTCACTGTCAGCACAAGAAAGCCATTGGACAACTGAGGCCAGCAGAGAAGGGCAAACACTTGCATTTCCCTTAACAGCTCGAGTAAGATTGGAGTTTTAGTAGAGTGGAAGTTTTAAGCAGTGACCATTGTTTTAAATCAGAAATAAGGAAGCTTCAAGCTAATGTTCTTGGCTGTAACAAGAGGTTTGTTGGTACATTGTAAATTTTCATTTCACTCAAAGGAAGTTTACACTCATTTCTCCTAAAGTTCCTTGAGTGGTTGTAGTTTCTTAACCACCAGAAACTCTCTTTCATCCTTCTCTGTATTGAGAAGTCAGTGAGTATTGGGCAAATTATTTCATCACATAAAGATCACAACTGACCCAAAACCAGCTCTAATGTGATATCCACCCACCACTGGTTTACGATCAGCGGGACACTGCTTTCTAATTCATTACCCTACTAGTTTAGTACACCAACTGTATCAGCCAGAATATTTATATAACATTCCTAGCCAAAAAAATGTCTGAATACGTCACAAGTCTGCAACCGGGAAAGAAAATAACAAAAGGCACAAACAAACAGATTTTTCATTGATCTGGATAAGGTAGGATACAGAAGTAAATTGCAACATAAAACAATAATCCAAATAGGGCTAAGGAGAGTGCTCAGGACTTAGAAATCGGGACACAGGCCTTGAAGTCAATCCATTGAAGTAAAACAGCACGAGTGTTAGAAACAGACAGCAGTGAGGCTGGAAGGTCATGCTTAAATAAAGTTTTTGAAGAGTGGAGATGGAAACTTAGCAAGGAGATTGAAGGGGGCAGAGGCATCGCAGTTCATGACCTTGATTTGTAAAACAAATGATCCCACAGGTTTCCTGTATGTTAAAAAAAACTCAAATGAAGATGCAAAGTAAAAAGATGGAGTCATTAATTAGCAGTGACCAAGAGGAGCCTTGGACTGTATTTGTACTCCAGATGATGCAGCTATTGTCAAAGGTAGCAAAACACGTCCCTGGTTGAACTTGCCAATCAAACCAGAACAACTATACAATATCCAGCTTAATCATGAAAAGGCAACTTTGGTAAAGCAGAGAGTTTAGGTGACTATCCAGGATCCAACAGAGGGAAGAACATGAAAAGTGGGAAGTAACTGGCGAGTAGACTGGGAGCCAGAAGAAGAGTACAAAAGCAGCATCAGAGAGTTAACAGCATGATCCAGCGAATGGGAGAAATAGCACACAAGTTGGTGCAAAAGCAGAAGTTGTCCTTTAGCTGGACCAGATGAGCTGAATACAAAAGGATGATGGCAGGATGTAAGTTAATTGGAGTAATGTCACATAATATGGCAGAGGGTAAAGTGGGTGGTCTGAGTGGGTGCAGGCAAGTTAAATAAGTCTGGCAAAGAGAAAGGTACAGGTGCTCAGGCCTACTGTGCCAACCATTAAACAATCTTGTGATGACAATGAAGTATAGTAGTTACAACAGCAAAACTACACCAGAGCGGGGTTAATTGGAAGTAATCAAATAAAATTAGACAGGTGTGTTAACTTAGTACAAGACAGTGATTTGTCACCATTCTCATCCTGATCTATTAACTTGACTCTACTCCACTGGGTTCATCTATCCCCCTTGAGTCATCAGAACACCCAGTATGCCATTTTAATTTCCATGCCTGATACTAAAAGCATAATTCATAAGCCCTAAAGACACAAGTGAGTCACCATCCACCACACAAGTAGAGCTTTATAAAAAAAAAATTCACAGGCTTTCAATTTATCTCTTTCAAGTTTCAAATATGATAAAATTAATAAGGTTTCTGATTTCTTCACAAATGAGAAAAATGAATCAGTAAAATGCCAAGTGGCTATTAAAAGATAACTGTACTATTTTATTGCTGTACAAATGAGGTCACATATCAATCCAAATGAGCACTACCCATCATATGAAGAGTTTGCTGTGCACACTTCACAACCAGCTGACTCCAGAATCAGAAGGCCATGGGTTCAAACACCATTGAGGACTTGAGTATTTAACCTAGGTCTCCATAGCGGTCAACTAACTAATTTACGATTCCATTATTTAAAAATGGGGGGAAAAATGATGATAACGTGGGAACAAAAAGCACTGGAAGAATATGTTGATATAATGAGAGAAAGTACGGTGAGTGAATGCTTTAAATTATAAACATTGGCACAGACCAGTAGGTAGAATTACCTACTATAATTCATAATCATTCATTAAAAAAAAACTGGAAGTGCTTACTTTTGAATTAAGTATTAAATCATTAGACTCAAATGCTTGTTGAAAAGGACTATTCGAAGGACCGCAGGAAGTATTTTGAGCAGATTTTCCTTTTTTTTTTTAAATTCAGTCATTGGACAATGGTTTTGTTGGCTAGGTTTGCATCTATTGCCTGTCCCTGGTCGCCCTTGAGAAGGTGGTGAGCTGCCTTCTTGAGCTGCTGCAGTCCATTTGCTATAGGTAGATACATAATGCCATTAGGAAGAGAATTCCAGGATTTTGACCCAACGATCCTGCCAGCTAACATCAAATATAGACTACTTGGTCATTCTTGATGTTGGGTCTTGTGGCAAGAAAGAGAAATTCTTGTTTTTTTAAAAAATCTTTTATTAGTTAAGTTGCCACAGGGCTGCTTTCTTGTTAGAGACAACCTGTGGGGAGTTTAACCTGAGGGTCACAACACCTCAGGGAACGGACAAGGTTGAGAAGGTGAGACCTTCACAATGACCTCAGCCAGTGTTGGAATTGAATGAAACTGCAAAAAGTATGATTCAAAAATAAATTAATCATTCTACAAGAGGGTGTCCAGAGTATGTATGCTACTTCAATGGACAGTTTTCTCAGTCAGTCATGACATGTGCAATACATTAGTGAGATCACACATGGAACACTGTGTACAGTTTTTGGTCCCCTTAATAGAAAAGGGATGGAATTGTACTGGAAGCAGTTCAGAATAAGTTCACTGGATTGACTGCAGAAATGAGGGGTTTGTCTTATTGAGAGATTGAGCAGTTTAGGCACATACTTTTTGGAGTTTAGAAGAATGTGAGGTTATCAGTTTGAGGTATACAAGATGCTAAAGGGAATTGACAAAAGAGACATGGAAAGGATTTTCCCCATGTGGGGCAATCTAGAATGTGAGGTCATTGTTTTAAATTGTATCTCTTAGGCTAAAACTGAGATGAGGTGAAGTCACTTCTCTCAAAAAGTTGTGAATCTGTGGAATTCACTATCCCAGAGTGTGGTAGATGCTGGGGCTTTGAGTAAATTTAGGGAGAACATAAGTTTTTAATTAGTAACGGGTTGAAGAGTTAGAGAGCAGGCAGGAAAGTGGAGTTGAGACCAAGATGTAACCAGCCATGACCATATTAAATGGCAGAGCAGACTCAATGGGCTGAATTGTCAACTCCTGCTCCTAGTTCTATTGTTTGTTTTAAAAGCTTTCAATCTCTCTCCAAGAATCAGTGCAGGGGTCATTACAAAATGATCCAATGCTTCATCCAAGAGAGAGCTCTTCATACTGATTGGAGTCATACCTGACACATAGGAAGATGGTCGTGATTGTTAGAGATCAGTCATCTCAGGTCCTACATCTCCTTGGGGTAGTGTCCTAAGCCCAACCATCTTCAGCTGCTTCAATGACCTGCTCTCCATCATAAAGTCAGAAGTAGTGAGGTTTGCCGATGATTGCACAAATTTCAGCACCATTCACAACTCCTCAGGTACTGAAGCAGTCCATGTTCAAATGCAACAATATCCAGGCTTGGGCTGACAAGTGGCAAGTAGCATGAATGCCACACAAATGCCAAGCAAAAATCATGTCCAATAAGAGACAATCTAATCACTGCCGGTTGACTTTCAATAATGAATCTATCACCATCACTGAATCTCCCTGCTATCAACATCTTTGGGGTTACCATTGACCAGAAACTCAACTGGACTTGCCATGTAAATACAATAGCTACAAGAGCAGGTCAGAGCTATGAATACTGCAGTCAGTAACTCACCTCCTGCCTCCTCAAAGCCTGTCCACCATCGAGAAGGCACAAGTCAGGGGTGTGAAAACTTACTCCCCACTTGCCTGGATGGGTGCAGTTCCAACAACACAAAGTTTGATACTACCCAAGACGAAGCAGCCCGCTTGATTGGCACTACACCCACAAGCATCTACTCTGTTCACCACCTATGCTCAATAGCAGTCGCATGTACTATCTACAAGATGCACTAAAGATAATCATTCACAACCCTGAGACAGCACTTTCCAAACCCACGACCGTTGGAAGGACAAGGGCAACAAATACATGGGAACACCATCACCTACATGTCCCTTTCCAATCAAATCACCATCCTGTCTTGGAAATACATTGCTGTTCCTTCACTGTCATTGGGTCAAAATCCTGAAACTCCCTCCCTAATGGTATTGTGGATCTACTCACAGCACTTAGACTGCAGCAGTTCAAGAAGACAAACATCTTCTCAAGGGCAACTAGGGACAGGCATTAAATGCTGGCCAGCCAGAAATACTCACATCCCACAAGTGAATAGAAAATACATGTTCTTCAAAAACAAATGGTGGCAGGCTATTTAGCTCTGCAATCATCTGAGCCTGTTCTCAGAGACTCATGAACAGTTTCAACTGGGGCTCATTGCATGGAGATCAGAAGCAGCAAATCAGGCTGAAAAGATCCAAGTGGCCAAACTCTAAATGATAGAGTGGCCAAACAGGCCAGAATGAGTCCCAGAGGTTTTTTTAATGGCTTTACATTTCATCCTCTTCCGACAGAACATTTGAATGCGGTACTTGAGTTATTTCAGCACCTTTACACTGTTACAAAGAATTACACTAATCTAACATTCTTAGAACATCCTAAAGTGTTTGACAGGAGCAAATAGAAACTTACAACACCAAGCCACATAAGAAGGAATTAGGTTAGGTGATTAAAAGCTTGAACAGAGGGATATGGTTTAAGGCTAAATAAAAACCAAAAGAACTGAGGATGCTATAAATCAGGAACAAAAACAAAGTTGCTGGAAAAGCTCAGTAGGTCTGGCAGCATCTGTGAAGGAAAAACCAGAGTTAATGTTTCAGGTCCGATGACCCTTCCCCCGAAACATTAACTGTTTTTTTCCTTCACAAATGCTACCAGGCCTGCTGAGCTTTTCCAGCAACTTTGTTTTTGTTTTTGATGTGGCTTAAGGAGCACCCTAAAACTGGAATATATGTTGTGACAAATGGAGAGCTTTAGGAAGAATAATCTAAGGTGCTTCAAAGATTAAAAACTACTGGCATATTCTCAGGATCTGCACAATACACCTCTTTCAATAATGACACACTCCATTCAATGGCTCCATATACATACCACACTCTGGCCACTGTGAGGGTGGAGAATGTAGGCAGATCAGAGGACCTCCTCGTGGGCTTGCCCATTACAAGACTGGTTGTGGAGAAGGCTAATGAATTCAATTGCCTGCCTCTTCTTTGATTATGACCACGCTAGTCCCAGAGAAGGAGCATCTGATTTCCCACAGGTATGCGTTAAGCATTCTGGTTAGCTCAGTTGGCTGGACGGTTGGTTTATGATGCCGAGAACATAGGTTAAATCCTTGTGGGGGCTGAGGTTACCATGAAGGACCCTCTTTCTCAACCTCACCTGAGGCATGATGACCCTCAGGTTAAAGCACCATCTCTTTCTGTATTAAGGCAGCAGCCCTGTGTTCCAGGAGGATTATGGTGCCTTCATTGTATCATTGGGCAGCATTGCAGGGATTGGAGTGTATTGTATACTCCAAAATTGAGATTTCCATTTGCCAAGTTTCTCTTAAGGATTTGATTTCAGTTACAACACCCCTTTGAGGAACTGCCAAAATAATTGATTGATTTACTGGGTTATTGGTTTTCAAAATAGTACATACTTAACACAGGCTACATTTCCCTAAGAATACGTTAATGTGAACGAGCCTGTCAGGTTAAGCTGGAACAAGTTCTGTGAACACTGGGCTCCCTCCGATCTTCAGTATATATCCCAACCTTTTCCCTACAATCAGTTCTGAAGGAGGGTCACCGGGCCCGAAATGTTACCTGTTTTCTCTCTTTCAGACGCTGCCAGACCTGAGTTTTCTGGGCAATTTCTGTTTTTGTTTCTGATTTCCAGCAGAACTACACACCCACCCCACCACCGGCCCCGAGCTCCACAAGCACACACACAGAGCCAGCCTTACCGCGGGCACACATGGGATGTCCTTCACTTTGAGCCAGGCCAGATCTAGGAAGCCCTCCCCTCTGTAGCAGGACTGCAGGCGGTCCTTGATGCGCTCGTTGATGGAGCTCAGCACAAACATGCAGAGGACGGATTCATCGGGGGCTTTACTGCGCCTCTTCTGGCCCTTGGAGAAGACAGCGAACAGCACGTCGTCCTGATCGGCCTGAATGCCCAGGGACCTGGCCAGAACGGGGCCAGCCTTGGTCAGGTGAGCGGCTTGCAGCAACCGGTATTCCACACCATCCCGGACACAGCCGATGGGCATCTCCACATAGGAGTTGAAGGTGGTGTCGGCCTGGCAGAGGCGTACCAGCTTGGAAGTGTAGACCTGCTGGCGGCTGGAGCCTGGCCCTGTGTTGATCAGCTCGGGCTGTAGGGTCAGGAAATAGACAAAGGCGCCGCTGCTGAACCCGTAGATGTAGTAAATATCAAAGTCAGGGATCACCGTGAAGGTGTCGGATGGGATCTTGATGAGGGAAGCCACAAACTCGTCGTGGAAGACGAAAGAGAACATCTCATCCGCCTCGGCGTTGCTGGCGAGCAGGCGGCTTGAGATGGTGGGGAAATATTCCGGTTTACCATCTACCGCCGTGGCCACGAAGAGTTTAGCGTCCGAGCCCTGGTCTGAGACGATGACCCCGAAGACGGAGCCACTGTCGTTGACCCCAGACAGGTAGTGCTCCTTCTTGTGGAAAGGCTCCCCCAGTTTGAAGAGATCCTCCAGCCGCAGCAGCTTGCAGATGCCCTGGTACAGGCTTCCGCACGCAATCAGGCGCCGCTCCCCCTGGTCGATCAGCAGCATCTTGTTGACGTTGTCGGTGAGCCGCAGCGGCTCGTTACACGGCTGCACGATGCGGGGAGGGTAACAGTTTGGATTGTCCTCATCCGGCCCTGTCTGGTGGGTGATCAGGGGCTGCAAGTCACTCGACAGTTTGTAGATCCTATTGACCGCTCCCAGGTACACACTGCCGGTCCTTTGGTCCACTACCAGGTGATTGAACACCCAGTCTGGGTTGTCCGTTTTAAAAGTCCGGTACTCCTGGTTAACCACTGACCCCCCACAGCAGCAAGAGGCGAGGCTGAGGAGCAGATGAAAGAAGAGGCAGTATCTCCCCACCGCCATTTTTCTGGGGGAGAAGGGGAAGGTCGATGTTGTTTATGGTCCGGCTCCTCTTGTTTTAATTTTTAAATCCCAACTGAAGAAAGATATTCGGCTACAAATCTACCCACGTCCGATCCTTAGCATCGTAAGTCTGAAAGAGAAGAGATAAAAGTCACAAAGCGGCTGGGTCACAGAATCCCTCACAGATTGCCCAGAGGAGAGGGGTTCTCTTTCTGTCTCTGGAACACTAAGCTGTTCCTCTCTCCCATCAATTCACTCCTGTTGCTTCTCTTTCTCCCTTTTGTCCCCACCTTCTTTCATTCACACATTAGCACTTGAGCTAGGGGCTAGATTCGCTCACTTAGCTGGATGGTTGGTTTGCACAATATGTGATGGGGTGTGGGTTTAATTCCCCCTACTGGGCGAGGTTACCATGAAGGATCCCCCTTCCCTGAGGCATGGTTTAACCACCACCAGTTTTTTCTCTTGAGAGAGCAGCTCAATGTTTTGGTAGGGCATTGCGAGATGGCTTGCCCCTTTCAGCTCCAGTTCTAGTGGACAGTGGAGAAGGTAATCTCAGATTACAAAGAGATCTTGATCAATTGGGTTTTTCTGAAGGAGAGTCCCGACCCGAAACGTTGACTTTCCTGCTCCTGTGATGCTGCCTGACCTGCTGTGTTCCTCCAGCTCCACAATGTGTTGTCTCTGACTCCAGCATCGGCAGTTCTTGTTATCTTTGATCAATTGGGTCAATGGTCTGAGGAGTGGCAGATGAATTTAGTTTAGATAAATGTGCAGTATTGCGTTTTGGTAAAACAAACAAGGCAGGACTTATACGATTAATGGTAGGGCCTGGGTAGTGTTGTAGAACAGACAGACCTAGGGGTTCGGGTTCATAATTCTTTGAAATTTAGGTCACTTGAGTCAGGGAGTTGGGACGTCGTGTTAAGGCTGTACAGGACATTGCAGAGGCCTCTTCTGGAGTACTGTGTACAGTTCTGGTCATTCTGGAGATAGGAATGATATTATTAAAACTGGAGAGGGTTCAGAAGAGATTTACCAGGATGTGGCTGGGAATGGAGTGTTTGAGTTTCAAAAATAAGCTGGGACATCTTTCACTGGAGTACAGGAGGTTGAGGATTGATCTTATGAAGGTTTATAAAATCAGCGGGGACATAGATAAGTTGAATAGCGAGGGTGTTACCCGTAGCTCAGAGGGGTTCAAAATTAGGGGGCATATTTTTAAGGTGAGAGGAGGAAGATTCTTACAAATAAAGGACATGAGTGGTAACTTTTTTTTACACCCACGGAGTCGTTCCTGTGTGGAATGAAGTGTCAAAGGGGTGGATGCAAATACAGATAGAACATTTAAAAGACATTTGGATAAGTACATGAATAGGAGAGGTTTGGAGTGATATGGGCCAAACGCAGGCAGGGGCGACTAGTTTAGTTTGGGAACATGGTCGGAGTGGACTGGTTGGACAGAAGGGTCTATTTCCATGCTGTATGACTCTGACTGGTTCTAGCTGCTATTGTTGGGTGTATTTATTTTCTGCCGAACACGTGAGAAAGCTGACAGCTTCACATCCAATAGCAGCTGTCCAAGAAGCAGGAATCGTCAGTTCAACCCCAAAGGCGACAGAAGAATAAAAACTTTAACAATTCGTTTTATGACGCTCGTTACATGAAATGAAATCTCCTGGAGGGACAATTTAAACAATAATCACTCAAGTCTGAGTTATCTGTACAGTTACTAAACACTGGTTACATTAAGAACTTAGTGCTCATTTGCATTTTAAACCATCCGATTTTTCTTAAAAATAAAATCCTCCTGAAAACTGGGATCGGCCGTGATCAGTGCCGGGAGGAGGAGGTCATTGTGTCTCTGTATAACAACTGTCACTGACAAATTCCCCGCCCCATGGATCGGAACAATACGGAGGAGATTAGAATGGGCCTTGCGCAAGAATAACATGCAGAATGGTGAAGTTTGTGTATATAAAGGGGTACAGTGGTAGTGCCCTACCTCTGAGCCTGGAGGCCTGGGTTCAAGCCCCACTAGCGCCAGAGGTGTGTAATAACCTCTGAACAGATTAAGTAAGCATAACTAGTCCAAACAAATCTGTGGGGTCCGCTTTAAAAGTTCTAATCTTAGGCTCTGGTCCCTTCAGCCCCCTTCCCTTTGTCATGAGGGTTGGGAATCTGTTAATGGTCTCCCGATCAGAATTTCCCCCGCCTCCCGAAAGCACCTCTGGGTTTTTTTCCAAACGAGCAAGCAGCCCGTTTGGCTTCTCAACGAGCTTGGGTTTCATTAATCAAACAATTCGTCACGCCCAGAAGAGCCAGCTGATTAAGTAATGTGTAAATCAAGATAAATATTTCAATAATCAGGACTTAAATAAACCAAAAAAAAGTTACATGGAAGAACAATTTACATCCAAAGGGTTTTCTAGAGAGGAAAAAAAGGAAACATTGCAAATAGAATCTGGAATTAAATCAATACAATGATAGTAATGGGGGGAGGGGGCAGAGAGCAATGAGGTGTGCTGCTATTGTAAAGGCGCCACTCTCTCAGAGTGCTGACTACGACCCCCGTTCTCCATGAAGCAATCCCAATCCCCATCCCCAATTCCACCCCTCCCTCCACCCACCAACCTCCAACCCTCTCCCGCTCCCCACAAATGCACCTCTCCTTCCAAATCCCTTCCTTCATCTTCACCCACCTCCCCTCACAGGGCCGAACAAAAATTCCACCTTTCTCTCCCTCAGGCCCAGAAAGTTCCCGGAAGTAACGTGTGCTGTCGATGGGGTGGGGTGGGCTGGGGTGGGGAATAACTGGCTCACGGGACAGTACAGACTTCCCAAGCTCTCCATGGGCTCATTCCCGGGGTCCGCCCCAGAGAACGGGGCACTGAAGTCAAGCCAATAGCCAGCAAGAACCGAGACAAGACCTGCTCCTTAAAGGAAACCCGAAAAGGAGAGAGCTGTCCCCTCGCCCTCCTCTCCAAAAGGCGATCAGGGTGACCAATTGATATCCCTGAAATGGAAGGGCAGAGCATCTTCCACCACGTCTCTCAAAACTCCAGATCTTAGGAACGATTTAAACCCATTAATTCTCAAAGTAACGCCGCATTTTATTTAAGACTTATATTAGCATTAATTATATATTCATGAAAATCTCAGCAATGCCTGACCTGAATTGTAAAGTGATTTCATTTGATATACAGACTGCATTTTAATCGGGTACATAATTAAAAGCTAAATCGTCCTTCAGGGAAGGAAATTTGCCATCCTTACCGGGTCTGGCCTACATGTGACTCCAGACTCTCAAAGCAATATAGTTGACTATTAACTGGCCCCTGAACTGGCCTAGCAAGTCACTCAGTTCAAGGGTAATTATGGATGGGCAACAAATCCTGGCCTTGCCTCTGACGCCCACATCAAAATTAGAAAGCAGAACTATGTTGTAGGCATCCAAGCATCTCCCAATTTCTGAGACAGTAGGAACTGCAGATGCTGGAGAATCTGAGATAACAAGGTGTAGAGCTGGATGAACACAGCAGGCCAAGCAGCATCAGAGGGGCAGGAAAGCTGATGTTTCGGGCCTAGACCCTTCTTCTCCTCCCAATTTCTGTATTTTACCGAGAAATTGGAACTTCTGAGGGTCACTTTGATTTGCTATTTCACACTGAGATGTTAGGATTCTAGAGAAAGAAGAACCGACATTTTCACTGTGGGGTCTGGCCGCAGGGTGAGCAGTCAGACAGACTCAACTCCTGCCTCCTTTAACAGTTAGGTGCAGAAGTAGGCCATTCGGCCCATCGAGTCTCCTGCGCCGTTCAGTGAGATCACAGCTGACATGAGAATCTTCAACTCCATTTCCCTGCCTTCTCCCCATAACTGAATCCTCTTATTAATTTAAAAACCTGCCTGCCAGCCCGGGACTTGAATATTCTTACGACCCACATCTACAGCCCTCTGAAGTGGAATTCCATGGATTCACTAACGACAGAAGAAATTCCTTATCTCTGTATTCGTCCCTTCATCTGAAATCCAAGACAAACACCAAGTGGGGAAATATTCTCAGATCAACTCTTCCTCACCACCCCCTACTCTGAAGGAAAACCTGAAACCACGAATCCTTAAAAATTCGTCCACGTACCATTGACTGTGCTAGCGCTACCCCTTCACAAACATGGACGAGGCGCATCTTCCTGAGCACGTGGTCAGAAACCAATGCGTTCTTTTGCACTTACTCCCACCCTTTGCAATAAAAACCCTGTCCTTTCTTGAATTCCGAAATGTGAACGGGAAACGCTGGAAATAAATCCAGCAACGAGGAGCACCACTTGATTCACAGCGGATGCCTGACCTTCCGAGTATCTCCATCTGTTTCTCTTCATCTCATTCTCCCTGTATGTCTGGGAGCCAGTACAGATCTTTATCAAATAATATTATCTCTCCCTCTGCCCTTAAGGAGCAGATCGGGGAAAGTTATAGATTCCATGAGATGCGGCCTAATGTCACACTGGAACTTGACTTTTTAAACTGAATGTTTTACTTGAATAATGTTCGGATGTTTAATTATTTGAAACTTCTGGAGTTTTAAACTCCGTCTCTCAATGTGAACAACAGCTCACAGAACGACTTCCAATGATCTTTCACACCTCTTTGACTGACTGACAGCACATAGTCTGGAGGGGGAAGAGACAGGGATCTTCAATGTACACTCCTTATTAATATTAAGGCTGTTCCGTATCATTGAAAAGGTGATGGCTAGGATATTAAGCCACAAACAAATCTTCAACTGAATAAGAAGTTGGAATGTCTATCACTTACTCCTGCTCCGATTATAAACCAGCTCTCAGAGATAGTAGGAACTGCAGATGCTGGAGAATCTGAGACAACAAGGTGTCGAGCTGGATGAACACAGCAGGCCCAGGAGCAGGAAGGCTGACGTTTCGGGCCTAGACCCTTCTTCAGAAAAAGAAGGATCGAGGCCCGAAACGTCAGCCTTTCTGATGCTGCTTGGCCTGCTGTGTTCATCCAGCTCTACACCTTTTTATAAACCAGCTCTCGATCACTTATCAACTTAATTCCCAGTATGGCTCCTGTCCTTGTTAAGCTAATGGTGACTCTTAAAGATTAAAT